TCCACAATGTAACCGGTTGCTGTGACGATAAAACGCAGTTGAACGACGGGATCGCAACATTTTACTGCCGCCGACGGCAGCCCAATTACGATCAATTTAACTGCGCGGAGAGTTTCTTTCTTCGGGTTTGATCCGCGTCGCGCACGCGAACGCTCCGGTCGCGAGAGATACTTCAAAAACACCGGCGAAGCGAATTGGCAAAGCCGATCGATTACTTTACCTATTACTTTGGTTTAATATCGATTCCGGAATTTCCGTCTTCGGGTGTTTAACTGAGCGCGAGTTTAACGTTGGCGTGTATACACGTCGATCAAACCAGTTTCTCTCAAAGCTGTTGCGGCTCGCAAATTAAACTCACTCACTTTTCAGATAAAACAGCTGATAAATAAAATAAAATTAGTATTTATTACTTCTGCCACAATAAAAAAGAAACTAAATCCCGTCGAATATAAATTGCAGCTCGGTCGAATTTAAAAAAGCATTTCTTGCGCCAGTGTCCGATCGACGCGAACCGATCGACACAATCGCGCATTGTCCCGCGAGCACAACGAGCTCGCGTCAAATTTCGCTTACATTTTCCAGAAGTATTGCGATATTCGATAAGATTGTTTGGCTGCCGGTTGTCAATGTCCGAGCCTTTTAATTTTGTTTTTTTTATTTTTTTTTTATCACCGCGTGAGAGCAGAGATCTTGTACGAACACGTAATCGCGAGTCGTTTGTCGCGCGCGCGAGAAGATGAAATGGTTTTTTTTTTTTTTTTTGTTCGGTCCGCGCGACGACTGGTTCTCGACGCAAAAAAACGCGATTAACAAAAATGTCGCTTCTTGTTAACCGTTATTATTAGAGATACAGCGTGTAGCGCTTTCACAAATACTGGAGTGTAAATTACTTTCTTTTTGTGCGCGTACTTTTAAACCGACACACACACACACACAGAGAGAGAGAATTACGTAATTAAAATTTGTTGGCGTACAAAAATGTTGGCACAGAAAATTGTGTAATTAATTCGCTCTCTCTCATTGGTAAACAAAAACTCGAAATTCTCTTGATAAAGACTAGAGAAACAAATATATATATATATATATCGCACATTCGTTCTTTTGGCAAAGTTTCTCGCGCGTTCGCGCGAGGTCAGATGTTGGAGTCGTAATTTTTCGTCACCGCTCGAACTCGGTGCGAGTTTTCCGCGAATGCATCGCTGCCAAAAATCACAGTGTGTGCAACGTATGTGCGTCACAGAGCGCATTCAGTTCGCGTCTCCTCTTCCCCACCCCCATCCCGCTTCTTCATTCTTCCAGCGCCCCGAAATTACCTCGCGCTCTTGTCTGTCGCACTCTCGTCGCGTTACTCTCGAGACGGCGTGCGCTCGCCGCGTCACGCGGAACGTGCCGAAGAGACGCGCGATCGAAACGGTTCGGAACTGGTTCAGTGAAGTCGGCCGTTCGCGGCTGTGTAGCGCACGATGAAACAATACGAACATACTAAAAGAGGGATAGGCGAGCGAGCGAGGGAGGAGCAGAAAGAAGAGAAGGAGGAGAAGAAAGACGACACAGAGCGGCGAAGACAGAGTCGCACGGAACACGTGAAAGGCGATTTAAAGGGAAAAATGAGGTGGCTAAGAATAAAAAAAGAGACGCGCGAGAGAGCGCGAAAGAGAGACGGGGAGAGTAGGAGGAGAAGGAGGGGAAGCGGGTGGGGGAGGGAAGAGGAGGAGGAGGAAGAGGAGGGAAGGAGCATGGCGAACCGGTCGCAGCCTCCGCTCGTCAGCTGAAAGCTCAGCTGCAGCCGGGCGCGGTGACCTCGACGGTGCAGCGCGCGCGGCGGCGGCGGCGGCGGCGCTTCACGGAAAAGCGAGTCGATTCGCGAGCGATAACGGTGCCGCAGTCGTCGTCCTCGTTGCCGTTTCCTCACGCGATTCCCTCCGTCTTTCAGGACCTTCCGCGAGAGAGACGCGCGTCTCCGGATCAAAACGGCGATAAAAATTCGAACCGCGAGATATCGGCGCAAAGTTGAAATATTTTGTTTAACGCAAAAAATAAACATGTAATGTTTACCGCATTGCAAAATAAATAACAAAAACACTTGGCGATACTAATTGGCACGCAAAATTAAATAAGAAATACGATATCGCTGTGTGTGTAATTCGCACCTGTATGCGAGTTTCGCTCCGAGACGCGAAGATCCTTAGCTTGAATGATCCATGCGGCGCGGCTATGGTGTACGCCGTATAATTAAATCGTACAATAAGGGCGCGGAATTAAATTTGCGCAATGTACGGCACCGTTTCTCAACGATGTCTTCTTCTCTTTCTCTCGCTCTCTTTCGAGAGAGAGAGAGAGCCACTTCAGAATGAATGACATTACGCGAGATTACTTTAGTCCTCTCGGCGAATTATTTCGGCTTATCTTCCACGAGAGATTTGTAATGAGATATTTCAAGACACTACACCCGGCGGAATACCCGGGTTGTATGTACACGACTGACAAGGCGCGCAACGTGTGATGGATGTTTTTTTTTTTTTTTTTGTCACGGCGGGGAGAGAAGAGTACAACGTGGAAGACGTGCGCGCGGGGTGTTGTATTCCGGGAGGGCTTCTTTGCGGAAAATGCAAAATTTTCGGACTCGCCTTTGTTCGCCGACAGTTCCAAAGTTACGCAAATGGTGAATGAACGCTCCCACTTGTGCAATCATGCGCACCACGTAACGCTGATTCACGTAATTTAAACGCGATATTTAACGGAATATTCTTTTTTTTTTTTTTTTTTTTTTCTGCCGCGAGCGGGCGAAAGTTGACCCCCAAAAGAGAGGCAGAGAGTAAACAAGGTTTCCACGTCGTGCGTGTTTTCGACAGGTTGATTTTGCGTTTCGAGAGAAAGAGAGAGAGAGGGAGAGAGATGGAATAAACGTTTTACAGTAGACAGTCGAAACATTGCGTATCTACTGTAGACATTGCCTTGACTCTTATCAATTTTTGTTTTCGCTATCGGCTAAAATTGTTATTTGCAAACTTAACTTGCGGACCTGACGTTTTTCCGAAATTACATCGCGACTGGGAGAGAAATGTAATATTTTTTTTTTTTTTTTTTTTTTTTTTTTTTTTTTTTTTTTTTTTTTCATTCTAACATGACTATCGCAAATATACGAGTGAAAAGCGATTTTCTCTCTACGGGGAATAATTGAAGAGATATCGATTTCACCGCGATTATCCTCTTCCTTTGAGAAATATCAATCGGTTCTACCGTGTGCTACGTGTTGTTACCGTGTGACGTTGTTGGAGGTCAGCGCTGAGAGAGAGAAAGAGAGATAGACAGAAAGAGGGAGAGAGAGAGAGAGAGAAACAGAGAGAATCGACGCCCGCGTACGATCGTCAGCATCGCCGGGTGAGGTGAAATCGCCGGTACGCAAAGTATCACGAACAAACACGACGAGTGTGGGCGAATAGCCATTTCTGCCCTTGACAGGAGCGTAAAAAATGCACGATCAGGATGACAAGACGCGACACGCATGACCTCATGAGTTTTTATTTCGATAAAGCACCGTAAAATTGTATATTATTTATAAAAAACCCGTCGCGAAAAGAGCGACGGCGTTCAAATCAAATAATTGACTTGTGCAGAAGTGAGTTTTTTTCAAATCGTCCCGATTACGTCAAACTCGCGCAGATTCTTTTTTTTTTTATACAAGCGCATCTGGTTCGCGCACTCGTTCTAATGAATATTTACGAAATGATAATTCTCTAACAAACTAATTTGATGCCGCGAGGAAAAACGATCGGTTGCGACAATCAACGCAACGGACAATCAAATTACAAACGTCGTACGAACGCGATTACGGAATCGCGCTACAAATGCGAAATGTTGGATTACATAACTTGTTTTTTTTTTTTTTCCTCTTTCATGTTTCGTCTTTTTATAAAATCATTGGAATATCGAGGAGAAGAAAAACTCGAGGAGAGTTGTTGGGATAGGTAATGTTATCTCTCGATATAACAAAAGAAAGAAACGTTGTTTCCGTAAGTATAACCAAGGATGACAAGACACTCCGCGCGTCCGTCGCGCGGCTTTGGTATATATGTATTATATCTAACAGTAAACGCGAGCGCGTTGTCGCTTCGCGTTCGGAATTTATAAAATTGACGGAGCTGCTGAGTTTTTAACGAGCCGATTCGTTTCGGAAAGCGCGTTCGATTCTCCGCCGACCGCGGTTCAAGCGCTAACCCTTAACAGTTAACCGAACGCTGGCTCCCTTTTTCCCTCCCCCTTCCTTCCCCCTCCCCCCCCACGGTTTTCCTCTCGTGTGCTTTTTGTGTGCAGGCTGGGGCGTTTAATGTCTTCGCACGTGAAGTTGCACTTTTCGTTGTTGAGACATCATTGAGGCACATTATCGGTGCAACCTCATGTGTGAAAGCACATATAAACGCCCCCTCTCCCTCAACCCGGCTGTACCGGGGATCGCGCGTTCGCATCGTCAGCGTTGATCAGCGACGATATCTCGCGATGTTATCGTCGACTTGAATTTTCCTCTCGCGCGTATATGTGTGTGTGTGTGTGTGTAAATTACACGCGCGATCGCGTAATCGCGAAAACCGATGAATCACAACCGATCCAATTGGATCCGATCGCGGGGGCCTATTCTCATTCTCGGCAACAAAGCGCGACGATCGCGAAACGAACGAGAGCTACATCACGTCCGCGGGGAATCGACTCCGAAGGCACAGCCGCGGCGGCGAACCGGTTGGTCGGTGCATCAGCTGAGAGCCCAGCTGAATCCAGAGAGAGCGGTCGCTGTAATAACCTCAACTTGTCCTCCCTCTCTCTCTCTCTCGCACACGTCACGTACACGCGCATATACCCACACACACACACGCACACTAGCACGCCAGAAATCGCACACATACGTGTTACATATACGTACATACATTTATACAGGTACAACACTTGCGAATTTCGCAAAGGCGCCGTCGACCGGGCCGATCGACGGGTTTGAAAACGCACGTTACCTGGTTTTTGTCCGACGACGTTGCGCCGACGATGGCTGTCCGCGAAAACTCGCCGGCAGTTTCGCGAAACTTTTCGAAAGCCCACTCTCACAATGGAATCTTCCAGTAGACTGGCCGAACCGGCGACGGCGAGCGAGGCAGGCCGTTCTCCCTTGCGTGCGCACCCACCGTGCGCGGCGCGGTCGTTCGGCTTTTTCGACGGGGGGGAAGAAAAAAAAAACAACGTGCGATTCCCCGATCGTGTCCGGTGACAGACCGAACGTGTTCACGTAGACGGTGCGAACTCGTTGCGCGTCACCGCGGCGTTTTACTTGCAGTACAAACCGGGGGGCGAAAAACCACGCGAGAAACCACGGCACTCTGCGTACGGGCCACCGCTCTTGAGATGACAGTTCGAGCCTCGCGAGCTGTCACTCGGCCGGAGCGGCTCTCCGCGCGCGCCGCTGCCGCCATCTGCCGGTCTCCGGCGGGAAACCCAGCTGGATTTGAAAACGGCCGGCGACGGCAGCGGCAGTGCGCGGACCGCCTAGCAACAAGATCAATAGGCCGGACTTATCGCGTGCACATTCTCCGTGGCGCTTAGCACCCGCATTAAAAGCGCGAGGAAAGCGCGTCTTTCACTTTTCCACGCTTCCACGATTTGCAAGTAACGATTTTCCTCGTTTTTCCGACGAGTTTTTTCTCTCGTCTCGGATCTGTGGAAAAACGCAAAAGAAAAACTAACGTCCGACAGACGTGAGGTAATTATCGAAGAGATACTTCCGTCTCGCGAGGTTCGAATTTATTGATTTCGTTTCTGATTTTACATATGTGCTTTTTTTGCATTCGTTTTGAAAATATTATATCGGAAGTATATATTAGCTTCGCTGAGAATTTCGGAAATATCCGAGATTGCGAATACTTACGATGAAAAAAAAAAAAAAAACAAAAAAACAAACGTGCACCAAGACACAAGAGCTTCGCGCGATTACCAATTGGGTCGGGGATAATCGAAATGTCCAACTTTAACATTGTCGATAACATGACAAGGCGAGCCGTACATACATATATTGAAATCTATCGTTGTGCGCAAACCCCGCGATTCTCGAAGTATCGAAAGTATTGAACCGCGAACCAATCGCGTCGCAATAATTAGATCTCATTCTCATTGCTCACTTTCCGCGCACAAAATCGCAATGTATATGCATGCCGGGCCGGTTTCGCCAGCTCCGATTAACATAATCGATTCAAAACGGCGGATTGGTCAATTCGAGCGATCGACCGTCGACGCGATTGGTTCGTCGAGTCAATCGGATCGATTGCGTCAATCGGAGTTGGCGAAACTGATCCGCGCGCATTCGCGGTCAGTAAGAAAATAAGTGGCCTTTAAAGAATAAATGATTAATATAAAACGCATTCTCACCACTGTATATCAAAGTTATACATAATTTGAATTTCAAATTCGAAATGAGCGCGCACATAAAAAGAGAGAAACGCCGTTACAATAAAAATCGATGTGGTATGTTTTTTGCTAAATTTTTTATTATAACAATTTGATGTCTGTTGTACAAAAAGAAAAAAAAGAACGTTCTCAAACGTTTACGTAACATTTCAACGTCGCAAACGCACATAACGTCCTTCTTCCGTGTGTTCCACGTTGATAATAAATAATATCATTTTATTCTCCCTCTCGCGGTGATCTGTCTCTCACAATTTGTTCTCGCTCACACATCCGACATGCATATGTGTATATATATATATATGTATATGTATATATGTGTATGTATGTGTATATATGTATAATTATAAAATGGCACACCCGCACACACGCTTCTCCCACATCCGTCCGATCGATCTTCTCTCTCGCTCTCTCGACATCCCTTATCTTTTTTTTTTTTTTTTTTTTTTTTTTTTTTTTTTTTTTTTTTTTTTTTTTTTTTTTTTTTTTTTTTTATTGGCACCTCGTTTCATCGCGAGGTCAATGCGAACAACGCACTTCGCAATGTATGTATTTCGTGTGGTACTTATTATTATTAAAATTTTTATCGATATGTATGCATCAGAGAATTTTCACTGTACATATAATTTGATGAGGTGAGAAGTATTTATTCGCGATTATTCGCGAAAAAACAACTACAATAATAACGTGTGTATATTGATCTGGGATCTGCTGACGGATATAAATTTCTATGGCTAGACCGACGATTTTTCGCATTGGTGTCGTGCCACAATAACGACGACTGCGACGACTGAGAGTAGGATATATTCCAGAGATATATATATATATATATTTGCGACTATTCCAATCGCTTCTTGAGTCTTTGCGCGATTGCGGAAACGAGCGCGGCGCCCTTGCCGCTTCCGTCCTCCGCGTGGATTAATTTGAACTGCGCAATTAGAAAAAAAAAATATGCGTAATTAGACACAAATGTTGAAAAGATCATTTTACAAATTTGTTGTAAAATATACATTTGTAAAGAGCGTGAGTTTGTTTCTCACTCACGTACCTTTCGATTTGGCGAGAGAAGCGAAATATACCGCTTCATCCAGTTCTCTAACCGAGGATGATGCTTGTACAAAGACCCGTCCACGGCGACCGTAACCTGTTCCTTGTCGATACGATCCAGTAAACTCGCGACACCTTTGAGAAAAAATATCAAAAATAAGATTACATCACATTTTATCTCTTTCGGCAATATAATATTTAACCTTCTCGAGGACCGGCATGTTTTTGATCGACTTTTTTATTTTTAACAACTTTTTTGTCATGGGGTCGAGCAGCGAAAAAGATGATACCACCGTCGAGTCCCTAAAAGGGAGGGGCTTCCGGTCCTCCGAAGATTAAAGGTACGTACGTTGTAACATGCGTCATCAACTTACATATCGATACCAGAAGAGCCGCGCGGTTGGAGGCGACCTCGCACACGTATTGAACGACTCTAATGTCATCCTGATCCGGAATGATGCCAAATTTTCCAAGAACCTCCTGCGTATTACTGTCACCACCGTTCACCGAATCCCTGAAAGCACGAAACGTGTGAAGAAAAGAAAAAAATAAGTAAGTCCGAAGATCGATTTAATCAGATTTGAAACCGCGGACTTACAGTTCGATGTGCGAGACTAGATCGGTGGTAAGACTGCCAGGTGTTAGAAGGCTCTGCGGTATATTTTCTCCTACAAACAAAAGCCCCTCTTTGGTCAACCTCGCAAGTATCACGCGAACCACCTCGCCGAGATATTTGCCAGAAATGTACTTTTCAAATCTAAAGAAAGACAGAAGTCACCATGATGTAATATCTAAGGATTTTTCTTCGTACGCGTCCACAAACGTGCGCCGTAAACGAATCTTGTGCATAGAGTTTTTTTTCGCGCACGTTTTCTAAAACTTCTTCGAGTTCTATATCGCGTGTAAATAAATGAATATGAAACATTTTATTTAGCATATTCGTTGAATATAGTTTTTTTTTTTTTTAATTTTTTCAAAGAAAACAGATGTATCGCAGTTAGTATTGCGTAAAGAAAACTTTTTGACAATCAGTTTAATTGGTCGAGAGTAACATAATTTTAATTAAGTACACAATTACATTATCGCGCGGATAAAATTAACAAAAAAGTTCAACTTGTGCAAGATACGGATGTTTTTCGTGTGTGTTATCGGCGTAATAATATTTTCTCTCCCCCGTACTCTCACATATCGCACACACAACAATTACAACATAATTACAGATAATATGCGCTACGATAATTGTTCACTTACGTAAATGATTTCGCGATAAGGGAGTTGGCATCGTTTTCACGATCAAAATCCGTCTTGATAAAGTCGAGAACGCCGTTGTCTCCGAAAGCGCCCCATTCGATATCGATGATAACCTTGAGCGGTGAAAAGAAGAAAAAAAATCAGATCGATAATTTGCGGATTTTCGCACGTAGATGTGCAGGATTTCTTAAGCGAGTCGCGTTTTCTTTTCAGACAAATCTCATCCGCTATTCGGCGTCATCGAGAAATATATTTTTTTTGCCGGAGAAGTAAAGTTTATTTCGAGCTCGCAAGTCGAGATTTATCTGGCGCAAAATTATTTTTAACATTACACAAACGTATGTATCGTTAAACTCACTTGTCGCTCGCCGTGTCTTTCCGTTTCCCAGTGCTCGACGCGGTCCGCTCGTTCCAGATAGCAGGCGTTGCTGCCGGTTCCCAAGATAAGTCCGATCGCCGTGTTGTGATCCAACGTCGAGCCCTGCACAAGCGTGCCCGTGGTGTCGTTCAGAATCGCCACGACCTTTACCTTCGTGTCGCCTCGTCGGTCGAGAGCCTCTCGCAACAACCTCACGACGTCCTTGTTCATGGCGTCCGGACAGTTAAAACTCTTAGTCCATGTCACCAGAATACCGACGTCCAGGGAATGCTGGATCATTGGGAACGAGAACGTGAAACCTGTGTGAAGCACGTCGGAGAATTGAGAGTAGAAAAAAAAAAATGATACGAAGTTGTTGGGGACGAGAACGGGGACGAGATGTGAGTAAAAAAAATCGACGGATTTTTTTATTCTCCGCGGAAAATTCCGTCGAGTGTTTTTTTATCCTCGCAATTTGAAACACTCGACACCTTCGTGACTCGAACTATTATCTCTGTCCCCTTGACATTCGCGTTGAGGAGATTCTCGACGTTATGTAATTAAAATAAAGATTAATAATCGGTATCTTTCCGTCGTCCCGGGTCTCCGGGATGACGGGAGGGATGAAACGGATACACGCGTCCCGAGATTGTATTATTTATAGAAACCGTCGTGTGCAGCACCATCGGCAGTAGCTCGCGTTAATTAAAGGTTTCGCGATATCCCGATGTGCAGATATAAAGAGAAGGCAGATATAGGGAGCTCAATTTACCGAGAGGAAGCTCTATGTCCTGAAGACCCTGAGCGATGACGAAATCACTGACACAAGCGGCAAGATGATCGAACAAAGGAATTGCTGAACCGACTCTCAACTCGGATCCGATGTAGTATCGCTTTACTTCTTGCCGTATGGGAGCACCATGGGACAGTTCCAGTAGCAATACGCGAAAATTGGTGCCGCCAAGGTCGAGCGCCAAGTACAGACCCTCTTCTGCAAATGTTTCAAAACAACAAACTTTTCGATAAAAAAAAAAAAACAAACAAACAAAACAAATGAAAATAATCGTTTCGAATTTTGTTTCTTTTTAATTTAATTTCGAAATCAAGTGCTGTGAAATTCTTCCAAGTAGATAAACACAGAAAAAAAAATACGCTAGATAAATCGCTCTAATGAAATTAACCGGTTTTCTTTTCTCGATATCTCGGCGGAGATAACGTCTTTTTTTGTTTGTTTGTAAGTACTACAAAGGAATTAACTTGGGTTTCAAGCGTGCGCGCGCAATACACGCGCTTATCGTTCAAGCGAGATATTAGAAGTCGCGAGTCAAACTTAGTCAACGACCTGTTCCATCGAGCAGTTCCGGTATGTACGTGTTTTCCATCTGCAGCGAGGACGGTTGCTGATGAATGCCCTTGTTCATTTCCGAAACGAAAACGTCCTGAATCCTTCTGACGGTCGCCGCGGACAGTCGCATATTCTCCATGTGATTCTCGACCTGTGAACACAATGTTTTTTTTTTTTTTGTTTTTTTTTTTGTCTTAATAAAATCACGCGTTAAAACGTGCATATAATCTTTTAATACCATTTCCGCCATCGTCGCCGTTATATCGCGACGAAGGAAAAATATATGCGATATTCACACCTATATGTAGATCGGTGTAAACCACGCTATATTGTTTACAACGTTATGTCATCTATTACGCAGCGTGTATTTCTAACTGGATTCTAAGCCGACTAATCAGAGGAAATCTCTCGCGTCGCCGCTTTCGTGAATTTATTAAATCGCTTCTAACTAAGAAGCGCAAACACGTGCGCTCGAATGAATCTATCGCTTTTAAACATTCGCTCTCGTGACGAGATTCTCGCCTTCGCGCGAATTCACGTGCTAACGTAAACATACTTAAACTTGTCTAAATCAGCTGCTTATTATACACAAGTGATAAATACCAGTTTTTACGACAAATTTGCGTGAATTATCTCAAGTGCGAAGTCAATGAATCAATAGTTTTTTTTTTTTTTTTTTTTTAGAAAAACATTTTGTGTTTGATAAAAAGCGCCGCACGATCGTCGCGCGCTGCACATTCTGTTTTCCGAAGCAAATGAGCGCGTTAAATCATGGGAAAACGTCAATAGCTGAATATTGAATATTCGTGAACTTTGCAATTCTCTTCCGGTATAAGCGCGTGTGTGCAATTTAACTCACACACACACACACTACGTCGATAAAAAAAATTCGTGTAACACATTCGATTATTCTCGAGTGTCGTAAAATAATTATAATTTTTGCACATTTAATTTGCAATGTAATTTTCGCGAATGTTATTTATGAACACCTTCCTCCATTTTTTTTTGTAGTAAACGCGGAAAAAAATATCGAGCGGATTAATTAAAGATTAACAATGTTTTAAACGAGAGTTATTTTTCTCACTCGATAGTCGTCCCTCTCCGATGACTCCTATCATGTTATCTCTGTAGTGATAAACTGTTCACATGTCTTGTGAACTTTTATTAACGCGGGATTACCTACCCGATAACCCTGTGACTTGGGGAACGGGATAAAAATCGATGGTTTACGACACGATAACCCAACGAAATCCAACTTGATCCACTAACTTGAAATCCGTCGTTATCCATAGTGCGGATTTTTTTTCTTTTTTTTTTTTTGTTGTTAGAAACGCAACGTAAACAAGAGTACACGCGCGCGACATTGATCGATCGAGTGAGATCTGCAACACGTTATTACAGTTGCAGAGTTGGGAACATGGCAAATTTATAATATGCGCAGTTAAAGAAAATTTCGTTCTGAAAAGAAAAAGTCATTAATATAATTGTTTTTCTTTCTGTATCGCAGATATGTATATAAACTATATTTTTGTTTTACTGTCAAGTTTGAATTATTAAGAATACGCGAATCTCGGCTCATTAAAACGCTGAAAAAAAAAAAAAAAACATTCATACGACAACTTTTCATCTGTGTTGTAACGTGTGTTATCTGCGTAAATATTGTGCAAGCGAGCAGTTTTGAGAATCAGAGAGTGTCGGGGGTCTTCTTCGCATCTCAAAACAGCTACTTTCGGGGAAAACCGGTTTTGTGTACGCAATTGATTTATGTAACGCGATATCTAATCGTATGTGTATAACACGATTGATAATTATTGAAACGAGAAAATATCTGCGGATGATCCGTCTCGTGTCACTAAACTCTTAAACTTGAAGTTTCGAAAAGTTGACTCTCGTTTTGCCTTGCCACTTGTACGGGATTCGAAATTGCAAAAATAAATGAAATGCTATGTGTTTTTTGCGAATTAACAACGCACGCGTCGTGAGAAACTGTGTGTAATGAGTTTGATAATACTTAAACATTTAATAAAAAAACGAAATTTTATCAATAAGACGAGCATGACGTTAAAATAAATATATATAAATTTATCTTACTATATGTATACGCGCAATTAAATTGTGTGCAATATTTTTTTAAATTTAAGGCCATTGCATTTAGAGAATTTGCAATTTTAATTTGTAGAAACTAAATATTTTTGCGCGAAAGAATAAAAAAAAAAAAATCACCACAGAGAATTTATCTCGGAATGTTCCTCTATTTTCTAATGTTGTTTTTCGATTCGTTATATTTTCATGGCATATTTTTATGACATGCCAAACTCGATATAGATTTTGGCCTTTGAGGTCATCGTATGATTAATTTTATAAAAGACCGAGCGTTCAAGGTGGACGATTTATAAAATTTATAAACATCCAAGAGATAAGATTAATGCGACATTTATTTTGATTACATAAATGCTGCGATTTACGCAAACGGAATCCGATAGAATAGATGAAACTACTTTTCTAATATATTCACCTTTTGTCGTCTGACATCGTCGGAGAGAACCAGCGGCGACACTTGAATCGCCTCGTGGAGCGCATGGTCCGAGGGAACGACCATGTCGAAACGTTATTAAATCTCTGGAAAAAAAAAAGAACAAGGACGTTATCGTTAATCGGAAAATTTTTCCATAAGCTGATATGAGATGAAAGAAAATGAGAAGAGTCACTCTTCTTTGACATAAAATCTAGCGAGAAACTAACGTAAAATGTTAAGATAACGTTGAGAGAGAAAATTAAAAAATATTTTGTTAGTAAACGTTTATTTAATATAAATATACATATATATGTATACTATATGTATATATATATATGTGTATATACAGGT